AGAGCCTGTGCTGATAAAGCTTTTTGCCCTGGTACAGAATTGAACTGGGGAAGGTCTGAATCAGTGACCATTGTGCCTCTGACACATGCAAAAATTAACAGGTTGGGTGAAGAATAAAGAACATTGGAGTACATGATATTTTTTTAAAGAGCCTTTTCAGGCATCCCCTGTGTTAACTTAATAGGGAATTTAAGATAAGTATTTAAAAATTGTTATTTTTCCAAGTATGGGGATACATCTGATGTCTCTGCTCTGTAGAGCAGTGGTACCAACTCATTTTATTCCAAGTCATAGTTTTGGGATGCTTGAGATGGGCCATATTGGATCATGAATATCCTTTCAGCTTTAGTCTGTTGGATATCTGGCTGCAACATAAGCAGCAGCTGATCAAATGTTTTGGTTTTTTTTCTTCTCAAAATCATAGAGAATAGGAAAAGTGTGTAAAATCATGTACCTGGTTTATAGATTAAATAAAAGCTTCCCATTCATATGCTCTAATTTCAGTGGGAATACAGAATGTGAAAACACCTTTTCCAAAACCTTGTATCTGATACAGCCTGAGAGCTGCAACAGGGATCACACACTTGGTGAAGAATGGCTTCAAACACCAGCCAACAGAAACCCACAGTGTTCATGGTTTTCAATAGCATTTGCATTTCATATTGGAGCAGTTTAAACAGCTCTGAAATCACAACCAGCTCTCATGATAAGCAGAGGGAGAAATTATTCCAATTTTCTCCCTTCCCCAACACCCACATGAAATCAGTTCATGGCAGACAGCAAACACTACATGTCTCCTGTGTCTAGGCTAATGTTCCACATTTGGGGAGCACAGGGGGATGCAGCATGATCTTGCCCATGATCTCTGCCCCCCAGAGCTCAAGCCAAGGCACTTTGGGTGTGTTAGGAACTGGAGGAGATGTCTCCCATGCATTGTTCCCCACCATGCCAGGCAGAGAGCCAGAGAGAACCCAGAGTCCTCATCAGCCTCAGGGCAAACTCACTCTTGGCTACATGACCTCCAATTTGCCTGAACAATCCCTCCCTTCTGAAATTATTTCAGTGTGAGAAGGAAGAAATAATATTTTTCTCTGTGGTCACTCAGCATTTATTTTTCTGCCACCTGAACATTTTCTGGAGGCTACTTGGTCTCCAGCAGGGCAAGAAATATTATTAGCATTGACAACGAGAAGGTGAGGTCTTGGTGAGCACAGGAAGAGCTTTATGGTGTGTTTACCAAAGGAGGACAAAAAGATGACATCAGTGTGTACAGAAATGCAGCTGTCACATGGACACTGTGGAGGCCGTGGGTTATTGTCCTCTGGAGAAAAGGGTGAAAACCTGCTATGATGTGCAGCAGGGATAGTTTGGGGGAAAAAATCTTTTTTTTGGGTCCTTAAAGTAGTGCTTTCTAGTCACACCTTTTGTAGCCAATGGGTGTTCTGGGCCTGCTGAAAGAATTCACAGAATTTCTGGGTTGGAAGAGACCTTCAAGATCATCAAGTCCAACCCATTCTCCAACACCTGAACTAAACCATAGCACCCAGTGCCACATCCAGTCTTTTTTTAAACACATCCAGGGATGATGACTCCACCACCTCCCTGGGCAGACCATTCCAGAACTTTATCACTCTTTCCGTAAAAAACTTCTTGTTTCTTTTTTTTTCCCCCAGCACCTTTGTCCCTAAACTCCACGTGAGAATGCCTGGGGGGGTTGGATCCACCAATGCTTCATGCCTGCAGGCACGTTCCTCTCCTTGCTTCCTCCTGTGATGCCTTCCTCCTCCTCCTGTGCACTCCGTGTGTCTTGGCAGTGCCATTTCCCCTCCGATCCTTATCTCGCTCCTGGCCAGGCTTGCGGGGCTGGACAGCACATCCGCAGGGCTGGCACATCCCCAGGGATGGCACACCCATCCCTAGGGCTGGCACGTCCATCGCCAGGGCTGGCACACCCATCCCCAGGGCTGGCACATCCATCCCCAGGGCTGGCACATCCCCGCCGGGCTGGCACATCCATCCCCAGGGCTGGCACACCCATCCCCGGGCTGGCACATCCATCCCCAGGGCTGGCACACCCATCCCCGGGCTGGCACATCCATCCCCAGGGCTGGCACACCCATCCCCGGGCTGGCACATCCATCCCCAGGGCTGGCACACCCATCCCCGGGCTGGCACATCCATCCCCAGGGCTGGCACACCCATCCCCGGGCTGGCACATCCATCCCCAGGGCTGGCACACCCATCCCCGGGCTGGCACACCCATCCCCAGGGCTGACACACCCATCCCCAGGGCTGGCACACGCACCCCCATGGCTGACACACCCATCCCCAGGCCTGGCACATCCATCCCCTGGGCTGGCACATCCATCCCCAGGGCTGGCACACCCATCCCCAGGGCTGGCACATCTCCAGGGCTGGCACACCCATCCCCAGGGCTGACATCTCCATCCCCAGGGCTGGCACACCCATCCCCAGGACTGAGCCGCAGGAATGTGCTCCTGAGATCTCCGCCTCGGGAACGGCAGCCTGTGTTTGGCATCAGCACCTGCCTGGGATTGCTGGGAATGTTACCCTCTACGTCTGAGCTGGAGCAGCTGAAAGAGGCTGCAAAACCACAAATTGAAATACAAATACAAGAGGAGAAAGAAGTCCATCCTGGCAAAAGGAAGATGTGTTCAGGAATCCTCTTTACACGCTCAAGGGTGTTTCCTTCTATTATGTTTGACCCTTAGGAAGGGGCTCAGGGGACCAAAGTGACCAAACTCTGTTCAGTTATTGGTGGAAGTGATGGTCCCTGAGCTGGCAGAAGTGTCACAGCTGGCCTGGATGGAGCCAGCTCACCAGGAACCTGCCTTTATTGCACGTTCATTTGCATCCCAGAGAGGTTTCTCCCCCTGATGCCAGGCTGCAGGTGTTTTCTGTCCTAACACATGATGTCCTAACCCAGGGGGTTCTCCGGCAGTGCTGCTCAGCAGTGCTGGTCCCACCAGGAATCTTGTTTCCTTGTACATTTTAGGGATGCCAGCATGGCACCCTGCAACAACTCAAATTCATCCCTTTCCCATCTGTCCAGCTCAGAGGATGGCAGGCTCCATCCCTAAAAAAGCTGGGAGAGCTGCTTCCAGGGCTGAACCTGCCTGGTGCCAAGGGATCTGTAGGACAGCAGGGAGGAGCCCATGGGACCTGCCTTGGTTCCCATTAGCTTGGTTCGCTGGGTTGCAAATTTTTAACTTAATTACATTGTTTGTGAAAGGAAAGTTTGTAAATTCTTGTCACCAGGAGCACAAAGTTACATAATAAAACCATTTACCAGTCTGTGGCTTCAGAGCAGTTCTCTGGGGTGATTCAATATTCCAATAAAAATACTGGGTGATACCATAAATATTGTAAATGGCTCTAGTTAGTTTCTAAGGGCTATGTCAACTGTTTATTGCCTTAAAAGAGAAAAGAATAAGTGAAATCACAGGGAAGATAAAATTTAAATAAATAAAATAAAGGGGAAAATAAAGCAAAAATATTTTCTTTCATATTTTGAAAGCTCTGGAGGAGGTTTTTGGCCAGCATGAGAGAAAACCATCATGTTTGCCAGAATAATGAACCTAAGGCTATCTGTGTGCTCTTGCTTATAGGTTGTGTATGTTGTCTGTGGGGGTATCTGTGCATAGATGCTCTGCTAAAATCTGTTCACAACACGGGGAAAACCTTCTGCTTTATTGGAGAGTTTGAGGCATTTGCAAATTCCAGCCACAGAGAATTCACCCCATTTCCTGGGCAAGCTGTTGGGCTCCTGCAGCCCTGCCACAGCTGCAGGAGGGTGCCACGGGTGGGCAGAACTGCAGGATGGATTATCTGTATCATTGAAAACTTGGAAAGGTTGTTTAAAAGTTGTCACTGAAGCAAGATAAATATTTGCCAGGCATGATCCCACCGTGCAATGACATGTAAGCTGTGTGGAATGTGTTAATAAAATATAAATGTTCTGAAAAGGAAACAAATGCTGCGGGTGAGAAAACAAAAGACAAAATGGACTTGCAGCACCTCCAAAAGCAACAATTGAAAACATATTGACAAGGACTGGGCTGAATTCTCTTGTATCTTCTGAGGAACATATTTGCAGCATGCGCAGATCACGCAGTAGGGCAGTGGGTTTTCAGGGTGCCATAAAAACCCAAGCACTGCTCCGGTGAGGTTTGTGAGGATACTGAGGTTGATCCATCCCTTAATAAGATGGTAACAGGGGACTTGGCTGCTGGAAGGGGGAGTCACCTGACTCACGGCATGGCTGGCCCATGGCAGACCTGGGGCAGAAGCTTTGGTGGTGCCCAGCGTGGGGACCCGAGGTCACAGCTCGCCCTGCTGCAGGCTGCTGATCCCATCAGCTTACGGGCAAACCCCTTCTCCTCCCCGGCCACCAGCTGGGCAGCTCCAGGGGCTCTGCACAGGCTCCAGCGGAGGCTTTTGGCACGTGAAAGAACAAGAGCCAGTGATGGACCATGCTGGTGGTGATGCCCCAGAGATGGAGTCCCCACGGTGATGCTCCAGGATGATGGGACATCCCTGGAACCTGCAGGGGGGTTCCACCGTGATGCTGGGAAAACCTCGGGGAACCACGAGCTCTCACTTGCCACCTCGCGAAGAAACGCATCCAACACCTCCCTTGAGAGCCTTGGGCCGGCTGCAGGTCTCGCTCCTGCGCCGGCAAAACCACGGGAGGGCGCTCGGCATGCTCGGGAACGGGTCCCACCGTGCTGCAGTTACCCAGAGGCAGGCAGAGGGCAGCAGGATTCCCGGGGGGAAGCACAGGGGGCGGTTTGGAAGGAGCAGCGCCGGCAGCCCGGGGAGCAGAACGGGCAGGGCGCGTTATAGCGGGGGCGGCCGAGCGGTACAGCCGGGCGGCGCTTCGGCAGCTCGTAGGTTTCCGTCACGGCTCTCCGAGCATTACCGAGGATGGCCGGAGATTACCGAGCACTGCCGAACAGGCGCCCCGCGCATGCGCTCCGTGTGTTCCAGCGATGGCGGCGGCCCAGGCAGAGGCGGGCGGTGCGCGTTCGGTCACGGCCGGGGCCGCGGATGCGATGAGCGACGTGGGGCCCGTGGGCCCCGCCACGGCCGAGCTGGGGGCCGCGGGCCCCGCCGTGGACGGTGCCGAGGGCGCGGCGGGCGACGCCACGGTGGCGGAGGAGGCGCCGGCGCCGCCGGCGCTGCCGGGGCTGCGGCTGGTGCAGCAGGGCGCCGAGGCGCACGTGTACCGCGGGCTCTTCCTCGGCCGGGCGGCCGTGGCCAAGCTCCGCGTCCCGAAGCGCTACCGGCACCCGGCGCTGGAGGAGCGGCTGAGCCGGCGGCGCATGGCCCAGGAGGCGCGGTCGCTGCTGCGGTGCCGGCGGGCAGGTGGGCACAGGGGCGGGCGGGCCGGGCCGGGGCTGCCTGGCAGGACGGACGGACGGACGGACAGACAGACACACACACATACACACCCCAGGGCGGGGTGAGCCCCGGCACCCCGGCTCCTCGGCTCGCTCAGAGCAGATCTCAGGCACTTAGCGCCATCCTGAAGGATGCGGGGGCATTTCTGAGCCCGCTCTGCTCTTTCAGAGTGCCCCTGAAACTCGCCCTCGGTGTGTCCCAGAGCGTGTTTTATCGGGGAGGCTCCCCCAGGAGGGGCTGGGCTGTCAAAGGGTTTGAGCTGCCGAGTCCTGTAAGGCTGCGGGGCTGTGCAGATGGCTTGGATCGAGTGTTGGCCCGGCCACTCCAAGGGGTGCATCATCAGTGGCTGGGTGTGATCTCAACTGGCATTTCTGCTTAAGGCTTTTGTAGGTTGTGTTAAAATAAAGCTGGGAGTCATGTAAATTAACTGCTGGCACTTGATTTGTTCTTTTAAATAGGGATTCCAGCTCCAGCGGTCTACTTTGTGGATTATGTCACCAACTCCATCTATCTTGAAGATATTGTAGACTCAATTACTGTTCAGGATCATATTTATTCTGTACAAAAGAGTGGAAATGATACCAGCGGCCTCCATAAGTTAGCAGAGAAGATGGGTGAGCTGTTGGCGAGGATGCACGATGAGGATATTATCCATGGGGATCTCACCACTGCCAATCTCCTCCTGCGGCCGCCCACGGAGAAACTGGACTTGGTGTTGATAGACTTTGGACTCAGTTTTATTTCAGGTCTTCCAGAGGATAAAGGAGTTGATCTGTATGTTCTGGAGAAAGCCTTCATTAGCACTCATCCAGATGTTGAAACGATGTTCCAAGCTCTGCTAAAGACCTATGCAGCCACGTCTAAAAAATCTGCTCCTGTGATCAAAAAACTGGATGAGGTTCGGCTAAGGGGAAGGAAGAGATCCATGATTGGGTAGAAGGGAGTGGGGTTAGGGATGGAGAAAGAGTAGGTTTTGCAAAGAGGGTTATTTATATTTCTAGTTGGTTTTATTTCACAGATCACTATTTTGATAACTGTGTATTCAAATAAATAAAATTGAATGAGTTCTAAATGTCATCAAGTAACCAAAGTAATTGTGAGATTGGGGCACAGCCAAGAGAGAAACAATTAGAGGTCACTTCTGACCTAAATGCTAAATATTTCTAATACAAAGTGTTTACAATGTCATTCTGCTCATCTTTGTGTGGTTAGAATCATTCAGAGCAATCTTTCTTGGCCTGCAGACCATAAATTTGTGGGAGGTTCTTACTTCAGAGACTACAAAACAGCATCTACAAAAGGTAACTCAGAAAAACAAGTGTGTTGTTTTTCTCAGAAGACTTAACAACAAAGGGTTTAAATCTGTTACAAACGACTCAACACATCCTGAAAAATTTCAGAACTGAATTTGGAACATGGGCGATCCTGAAATACCACACTAAACATAAATCAGTTTTGTTTTCTTCTGGTAGTAAATTGGCTTTTTTCACTCTCAGTCAATAGCACTGTCTGAAGGAAATACAAAATTTGTTAATCCAGAGTAGTTTTCTACTGAGAAACTTCAACTTTAAGCAAGAAGTCTGCTGTAAATTTCCTCTTTTGGAGCTTTACAAGGGGGACTGCTGGTTTTGCCGTTGCCTGCCCAGGTAGGCATTTGGCAGAGGTAGGTGGTAATTACCTTTTTCTTGCAATGCTTTCTCTATATTGCTTTGTTTTTCTGGCTTACTGTATCTCATAGTGTGAATGGAAGGTGTGCCAGAGGAGAATCTTGCACAGCCCACAGTGGGTGGGTTGGAAGGTTATCAGCTGTGTGAGCAGGCTGGGCTGTGAGCTGGGTGAGCCTGGGAGCATCACTGCAGGTAATGATACAAAGAAACGGTGAACTTCTGGCTGAGCGATTGGCTGTGCTGGGCAGTCTTTATCCCTGGGGAAGATGCTCTGTTGTCCTGTGCTCTCCCTTGGAAGGGATGAGGCTTTTCCTGCCCTCTTGGAGCGGCGCAGCGAGCAGCGGGGACGGGGCAGGCGGCGCCGAGAACCACCAGGCTCCTCCGGGAGCACAGCCGGGCTCCACGCGGTGGCGCCTGCGCAGCGCCGCCGCCCCTGGCCGCGCAGGTGACCGGTTCGAGTCCCGCGGCCCGCAAGTGTCCTGGCGCGGCGGGCTGCCCGTGCCCGCCGCGCATTTCACCTCTTGCCAGAAGAGCCGCCTGGGCGAGTGCCCGACCCCGGCGAGTGGGGCTCGGGTTCCACCGCCCAGCCACAGCTTTGCCGGGCGCCGCACCTTCCCTGCAGCGCCGGCACGGCACCCGCTTGTAGCTGTCGTGCTTTGTTTCCGTGCCTGCGTGTCCCGGGCACGTTGGCGAGGAGCGGGGCCGGAGGAGCCCCTGCTGCTGCTGCACCTTCTGCTCCTCGGCACTTGGATCGGTGCTCCCCGGGTGTCCCGTCCCTGACGAGGGATGTGAGCCCCGAGTGCCGGCCCGCGGAGGGGAGGCAGCAGCCTGACCCCTTGCCCGCCGTCCCCCATCTGTACAAACAGCGCTCTCAGCGTCTCCCGGTGATGCCAGGATCGAGTTCTGTTTGCAAAGCCCTTTGAAGCAGTCTGTTTCCAGCTATCGTCGTGTTTGTTAGAATGCAGCTCTCCCTGCGGGACAGCGGAGCAGAAACAAAGCCGACCCACGGGAGGTTTCCACGGGCGGAGCGGTGCCTGTGCTCAGGCCAGCCCTCCCGGGGAGCTGTGCGTGGGACTGGCCTTCGAGCAGGGGCTCCTGAGCTGGCCTCTGCTGAAATCAGCTCTGGGATGGAGCTCCAAAACAAAGCAGGACATTACTGGTCGTGAAAAGCAAGCTGTTTTGCTTTTTCACTGCGGGATAAACCCATCCTTGTTATATAAGTGTTACTTTCTGCACATCTGTGTTGGGCTTGTTGATATTTCCTCTTGCTCAGCCTGGTGTGTCAGATGGATTGCTGTAGAGAATGCTGAACTGTTGCTGTTTGAAGGTGGAAAAAATCACAGCAGGTTTGTGTCCAGCAAAAAGGACACTCTGGACATGCAAAGTCCACCTCACATCTTCTTGCAGCCTCAGCTGTGTCAGTCCCTCAGGAGCTGGACTCAGTGATCCTTGGGGGTCCCTTCCAACTCCCTCTGTGATTCTGGGACGAGCTGTGTCTGCAGCAGCACCTCCTTGGATGAAAACCACTGGTTCCCTGACTGGTTCACAGCGCAGGTGGACGTTCCAGTTTTTGTTGGCTGGGAATAGTTTGACATGCTGCTGTGTTAGCCTTCTGTGCATCTCTGTGCTCATAAGCACAGAGGTTTGAATTGCTGTTATTGTTGTTATTGAAATAATTTGCCATTGCATTATTAACACTCAGGCTTTATGTGCAGTGCATGTCCATTCTTGTAAGGTAAATAGGCCTTCCTTCCTTCCTTCCTTCCTTCCTTCCTTCCTTCCTTCCTTCCTTCCTTCCTTCCTTCCTTCCTTCCTTCCTTCCTTCCTTCCTTCCTTCCTTCCTTCCTTCCTTCCTTTTCCTGAATACTTTATATGCTGCAAATCCAGTTTTGAGCCACCAATATTCTTGGCCTGGCTTTTTACAAAGTCCTTGCTGGCACCCACACTGGCAGAAGTGGTGGTGTCCTACCCAGAGGGGCTGTTCTCCCAAAGGCTGTGTTGTCCTTCAGCCCCTCCAAAACCTTCTTGCTTGCCTGTTGGGGGGACCCCGAGATTTGGGATGTGACAAAGGGTGGCTGGTGGTGCGTGAAGCCACTGGGGGTCTCTCTGCCACCATCACTAGCACACCAGGAAAACCTGTATGTTCAGGGAAAACCTTTGAGCAGAATGTATTTACAGCTGTGTGCTGGATGTACAGTTGATCACTCTGGGCCTTTCTTGCCTGAATCTTTTTGCTTTTAAAAGCGAATTGTTGTCTCAGGGCATCAACTCCAGGCCTGCTGGGAACATCTTCATTTCCAGAGGCTTCCCAGCACCTGCTTGACCTTGCTCCACACCTGGATATCGCTCAAAAATGCCATGAATACAAGGAGGTGCAGATAAGATGTGGAAAGAGGAATGAAAGGGAAAAGGGAAAGACAAATGAAATGGAAATAGAGGCATTTTATCAGCAGAAAGTGCAGTATAGTATTTTGGAGGGAATTGCTGATTATTGATGGAGTTGCCTTTCTATTTATTTTGGTATCTGACATCATCAGTGGTTTCTGGGAGTGGGGAGCTCTTGGCAACCAGCCTGACTTGAGCTTGGCAATAAGACCAAGTTCTGTTTTGCCCACTGATGCCATGAGGGCAGAACTAAACTAAGGGGGTTTTTCAAGATAAATATGATTTGGAGACCTAGAGGAGCAGTAAGAGAAAAACAAAACATCAAAAAAACCCCATACAAGCAAGGAACAGCGACAGAGACACTGTTGAATAATCTGGGGATGCTGTTGCCATGATTTCTGGACAGTGGCTGCTCTGTGATGGCAGTTACTGTGTATATGTAAAAACTGTGCATACAAGATATATGGTGTAGCTTTTTTCAGTGAACTTCTCTATAGTCTAGGCCTTGATGTCTGCAGGAAATTGATATTTTCCAGTTTTGCAAGATGCAGAACACTGATAACCTTTTGCAAGCCTCTTCTCCCGTCACTGCTGATAGAAAACCGAGTTAGTGCAATGTTAGCTCATTTGTAGCTCAGCGTTCACTCTGTGAGGGTCACTACAGATAAATAAAGCCCCTCCCTGGCCCAAGCACAAGCTGTGTCACACAGTGGTCCCTTTGGGCACTTCACAGCACCTCTCTTATGTCAATAAACTAAACTTACTTTAAGTAGTAGCCCAGGAGTGGTCTGAGCCCGGTGATGGCAGGGAAAGCACAGGGCACCTGCAGCTGCTGCTGGCACTGGAAATGGGGATGATAGAGATGGAGTTTACAAGAAAACAAACTAATTAAACGTTAATTCCCCTCTGAAGGCAGGGATGATAGAGATGGAGTTTACAAGAAAACAAACTAATTAAATTCCCCTCTGAAGGCCAGGAGGACCAGCGTGCAGCCCAGGCACAATGGGCTCGGCTGGAAGCTCTGCGGGCTGGGCCAGCATCTGCCCTGCTGAGCCCAGAGGGGCCGGAGGGGCTGGGGAAGGGGCTGTCCTGGCGTGAGCCACGACTTGCAGGGGATCGTGCTGCCCGTCCCCTCGCCCTGCACACTGCCAGAAATGTGTATCCTTGTAAGAGAAAGAACAAACTGTGCCCGTTGTTATTGTTTTGAAGCTTTTTTTAACTTTCAAGGTTGATTTTGAGAGAAGTTTTGTAGAGCTCCTTTGGTCCGGCATATGGCACACACTCAAACACGGGGTCCCAGTCTCTGGCTGATGGGTATTTTGGGTAAGCTGAACCTGTTTTAAGCAGTTGCATTGTTTTACTGGCCTGAATTTTGCTTTCAGTCATCCCTCTGTCCATCCTCTCCCAAGTAATGAAGCAGCTTCTGCTCCCACAGCTGTAGTGGTGCTGAGACAGCACAGCAATCTCATTTACTTTGGCCATGAAAACTTAGTATTCATGTTGTGGAGCAGTTCAGGAAATGCAGCAAGATAAAAATCCTCATGGATTCCTCTCGGTCAGCTCTGTGCTCTCTTCTGGGCCCCGAGGGAAGGTGCCAGCGGGGCAGGGCAGCCGCGGGGCCGGGCGCCAGGCGGATGCCGGATCCTCGCCTTGCCAGCGGCCCCCGGCAGTGCCCGGCAAAAGCTTTTGTGTCCCTTCTGCTGTTGGAAAAGAGCCGCAGTGGTGATGTCGCCACCCTTCAGCCCCTGCCCGGGATGGCTGTGGGCATTAACTGATTTGTTACTATTTGTGCAAAATTACATATCTGCTGTTAAGAAGAGGGAGGGGGATGGAGGAGGTGGATCCAGACCAGGAGCAGAGTCCTTTCAGATGGGAGCACAGTCCTGTCTCTCTTGCTGATTGTACCACCACTTTCTGATTCCTTGTTCCCTGTGTGCCAGTGATTCATGGTTTCTTTAAGGTGGATGAGGGTTTCTCACATCTGCTTTTTAAACCAATGCATTTGACTCCAACTTCCTTGAT